TTCTGAAAGCTGTGGCGCAACTTATTACCTCATAACAACGAACCGTCCCGCATTGGATGTGTCTATTTCTCAACGAGCTCAAGGTGGAGCTTTCTCACGACACCTTTGGGCATATTTTGCACTTGAAATTACATCCACATACATATAAAGTCCAGCCTACACAACAACGCCGGGCATACGTCGAATGTTTGCCTGAGCAACAAGCGATGTTTCGTGCAAAATTTTCTTAAGGGACGAGGTACATTTCACACTCGGGGTATGCGTATATATGCAAAATTGTCACATTTAGGCTTCCGATAATCTTTAAATAATTGAAGAGAGGTCATTACATCGGGAGAAACTTATTAACTGACTAAACCACTACATCCGGAGTCACCTATTATTGAACTCTTCTTAAAAGTCGAAAGTTTCATTTTAAGTATGTTTTAAATTTTTTATCTTTTACAGTTAAAAGCAAATAGTTTCATGGTTTACGATAAATGCATCTACTATTTATTACCTAAAAATGTATATATGTGTGTATATATATTGTACAAGCAAGCCAGCCTGCTATTACTAAAATTTTTACTCTCCAATCTATTCACAAAATTTCATAAGTAATTTTGGAAAGTATCTTTGATATGTGGAGATTACTATTGTAGAAATTTCAAGAATATTAAATTAGTATAATTGAATTTAATTTAAATTGTAGAAATGGCAGCGTTGCACTTGATTATAAAAGACAATGCGGGGAACTTGTAAAACGTACTCAGTCGACTTAGCAAGTTCACTAATGCTTCATCGGAATGAATTAGTTTAATGAATACTCTTTTTCTTTGTTAAGCTACCTCGCAACGGAAGTCAGCTGAGAGAATGTTAAAATATCTCTTATTTTAATTCCTTCTTTGTTTTTTCTTTTTTTTTTCAAAAAACTTAGTTTAATACAAGGAAAATTAAATGTGCATAATATCAGCGGGTCTAATAGAAAGCCTGGATGGCTTGATGTGGAAATATTAGTTTTTGAATAGCTTTTCTGTCAAAATAATGAAAACGAGTTTTTTAATCTTGTCATTTGGTTTTTCTAAAATATTTCGCAGTGCACGATCATATAAAATGACAACCAAATGAAAACAATCCAAATAATATTTGACATGTTAAGCAAATTTTATTCATTTGCTATGTGACCGCTGTTGAAAAATGAATAAATCTAGATCATAAAGGATGTCTTATAAAGTAATAAGGTTTTTAATAATTTTGAAAACGTTTTACGGCAGCTGGGACCGATTCCAATTAGTCTTTTCGACTACAAATTCTTTCAATTTACATGCTTACATTCGCGCTTTTTCAAAAAGAATTATATTTTTAGCTGTCAAATGTCCAGACATTTGGACGGGTTTTTTTGGATGTAACTGAACAAATGTACAGTTGTCATGACCTAATGAAAACCAAGTATTAGTTTTACTTAAACTGTCATATAATACCATATTTATGTAAGCGTGGTGTGTTTATTTCCATTGGTCAAGTAAAAGGTTCGTTCGGTTTTTATCTAAGAGATGACGTTATTGTCGGTAGTACTAGTATTACCTGTTATACTATACGTGCACTAAAAGTTTGACTTTAACAATTTTTCGATTAATTGACTCCGTACGTTGTGAGCGCTCGTCAAAGATGGACACCAGCAAAGAGAAAATTCACTAAAATTTTACAATTTTTCTGCGATCAAGGCGAAAAAGCAGCCAAAGCGGCTGTAAAAAGTAATTTAGCTTATGGGCCCGAAACTGTAAACGAACGTGTAGCACAAAAGTGGTTTGCTAGGTTGCGTTCCGGTAGTTTCGATATCAAAGATGCCCCACGCGTCGGGAGGCCTGTTGTCGAAAATTGCGATAAAATCATGGAAATACTGGAATTGGACCGTCACGTGAGCACTTATTTAATTGCTGAGGAACTAAAGTTAAGTTAGAAAACCGTTTGGAACCATTTGCTTATCCTTGGATTAAAAGAGAAGCTCGATGTATGAGTGCCACACGAACTAAGGTAAAAAAAACACAATGGACCGAATTTCTATATTTGAATCGCTGCTGAAGCTCCAGGAGCTCGGATGGGAGGTCCTAATGCACCCACCTTATAGTTCGGACTTGACACCAAGTGATTACCATCTTTTCCTGTCCATCGCAAACTCATATTGAGAAGTTGACCTCAAGAGAGACCTGCGAAAATTGGCTTTCCGAGTTTTTTGCAAATAGGGATGCAACCTTCTACAAGAAGGATAGAAATTGGCATCTCGTTGGCAACAAGCTTACGAATAAAACGGTTCATATTTGACTTAAGTCGGACAAATGTACACAAAGTTATCATATTTTGAAAAATCTATAAAAACCTGAACGAACTTCTTACTTGACCTAATATTTGAACCGAGGCTGCACCCTAACGATAAATTTCACGAAAATCAAAAATTATAATCGTTTCGGTGGGAACAGATAATTTTAAGTGTTAAAATCTTAACAAGCAGCCATTTTAAAATCAACGAAAGCTGAGTTCGTGCGGTCTCAACATTAACAAATCCGGCTTGTTTCGATAGCATGCCGTCCTAAGGAAACAAAATCATTTCGTTCAGTTTACTTCTCATATTAAAAAACGAAATTGCATCGTTTCGTTAGTTGAGCATTTCTGATTTAAGCTTTTTAAAATATTAACAAGTTCTATATTTAAAACCTTGTTTAATAAAAAATATACCTAATCATTTTACCGTTTCGTAAACTCTAAGCGGAAAGCATCTGGGTTTCCATCTGTATGATGGTTTTCTTAATCTAATTATTCTCTGATTTTTTATGCAAATTTTAAATGACTTTACTAATTACGCCATATAGCTTAGTCCCTACATCTGCAATAACCAATTTTCGGATCTAAAATCATTAAAAAGTCATATAAAATCAAATACCCTCTATTCTTCTTCTAAATATACGAACCTTTGAGTCGCTTATGCGATTTGTGAACTAAAAGGGGAATTTTTCCTTGTGCAAGGAAATATTTTTTCTCATACATATACATAAAAATTGTAGCAGATATTTAATGGAAAATTATTGAATAAAGCTTAGCTCTCTCTGACATTCCAAAATTATTCGAATCGCTCATCATAAACTATTTACCTTTCAATTTACTCTATTACATCACATTGCCAATATTGGCTCGTTTGAGGAAAATCTACTACTTGAGCTCACTTCTCATACCATTAGTACGTTCCGAGATAAAACAACCGTTGATATAATATACTCACATACCGTCTTCAGAATAGCTTCTGACAAAGTGTGGCGCTCGGAATCTTGACTTATCGGATTTCTTACCAAATATTTAATAATGGGTTTCCTGTATGATCGCACTCAAAGAATAATTCCATTTCAGATTTCATTAAAGTCTCCTCAGTAGTGCCTCAGGGTAACCATTTAGGCCCGATATTTCTTCTGAGATTACATTTAAACTTTATAACTTTTACACTTTGGAAAATGAAGGTATTTTGCTTCCCTGTTTTTGAGTGGTGAAAAATAAATGGAATGACACTAAACCTTAAAAAACGTTAAGTTATGTGCTTCGCCGGAAAAGAGGTCCATTTGGAATTGCGGCCGCGACAGCCGTCTGTTTTGTAGCATTGCATTGGCAATTCGGAACGAAGGGGCTCGAGTTCTGATTCGACCAATAACCAGGTAATGTAGAAAATTATTAAATAAGAAATTAAGTTAATATTCTCATTGCGTTCGACCCTCGGCTGGGAATTTTAACTCCTCCGAGTGTCTTTCTGACATGAAATAAAGCTTCTCATAAAAAAACCAGCGGCCATTCGGAGATGGCTTAGTTTAAACTGTAGGTTCTCTATTTGTTGGAAAACCATCAAGACGCACACCACAAATTGGGAGGTGGAGCTCGGCCAAAAATCGCTTCTGCGGTTACAAAGCGCCAATTATATTTATATATATATATATATATGTAATTCGCTTTCCAGACAGTTTGTCTACTGGCCGCCACGGAGTCGCGACTTGACTCCGTTGGACAAGTTTTTGTAGGGAACTGTCAAGGACAAGTGCAACGCCAGCCATCCAGCGACGGTCCACGACTTGAAACAAAACATTGGTATGTTGATAAAGACAATGACAATGAAAAATATTCAGGATCCTATCTATAGTTCAATTTTCTTGGTATTATTTGGCTTCCACTCTACCGTAATTTTTCTTCCGGGAATTAGTTTAGAGACGGAACTGATTTTAAAAATCGGAAATACTCCTTTTAAATGCCTCGAAGGATTATTATTAATTTTTTTGTGGTGTAGATTCCAGAACGATTTAGCAAAACTTTTTCTTCCGAAAAGTGATCCAGGGACCAACAATGACATGCAAAAGGGCGAACAGTTTTTGTTACTGAAATCATAAAATACTATTAAAATATAGGTTTACACAAGACTAAACTTCGGGATCGGAAGTTGAGAGAAGAGGATGTTCCTAACGTTGCTGATGATGATGATGAACCATCCTTATGCAGAATGAAGCTATCATAAATATAGTCAATATAGTCAGAAAAGGTATAAAATAAATTGAAAACCAATTGTTTGCTTAGAAAATGAGAAAAAATCAATATTTGTGGACTTATAGCTGAGATATTGGTCAAAAGTCGGTTAAAAATTATCAAAATTTTATTTTATTTTGATATTATTAAAAATTATCAAAATTTTTAATTTTTAATTTTTAATAATATCAAAATAAATACTGGGAGAATATTAAAAACCCACTTTGAGCAAAATACAAAGAAATGCTCTCAGTTTCTTATAGCTGAGCTGAGAATGAAAAAATAAACGAATGATGCAGAAATCCAAGATTTGGCATCTACTTTCAACTACTAATCACGAGGGTCTCGCCGGAAATTTAGTATTGCTTACTATTATTAAAACTTTTTCTTTCTGTCTGCAATCTAAAATATCTTACAAATCTGCCGACAATATATTTGTTTCCAATATATATATATATATATTCTTTCAGAAGGCAACATCGACTTCATACCTCTAGGTCGGCCAGCAAAAAGTGACTAAAAGCTTAACAAACTGTTTGATAATTCATCATTTATAACCGTCCATACATGTATGTATGTATGTTCCTGCGAAGCAGGATAAGTCAAGTAGATTCAACACAATCTGCGCACCCAACAAAAAAGCTGAGTCGAAAACAACAGTAGAACCTAAAAGGAGGAGTGATGTGAGATAGAAACGTCGTCGTGGGATGAATTCACTACATCAACAGCAGCAGCGCTTGCTTTGTAATTACACAACAACGTCAACGTCAAAGTAGTCAATTCCTTCAATTATAACGTCAGCAACAAAGTCAGCAAAAACAACAAAAACCGTTATGCGAATAACGAATTTCGGTCATTGCACAAATTTACACTGTTTTAGCGTCTGTCTAGATTTTCCAAAAGCCAGAAGCGTCAATTTCACTTTCACACATATTTCACGGCAATATTTAGGAGAAACACATACATACTTACATATTTACACACAACGAAGTTACATCCGCAAATTTATTTGGCTTAGTTCGTGCAATTGCGTTGCCTTACTGTATTTTTGCTGAACGAATATTTCACCAAAAATGGCTGGAGGTGGTCGCACAGCCGGCAAATACGGCTATTCAGAGAGCGGTTACTATAACAGTAAGTACGTTTATAAGTTTATACATCACTTTAAGTTGTCATATCCGAACTGTGCACTCGGCGGGGTCTCGGGTGCATAGCACATCAAACACATTATTAACAGAGGAGAGAATACTCACAATCTCTACATTCCGCTGTAGTGAATCTCGGCACACGACTTACGATTGTGTGTATTCTCCATCGTGTGTGTTCTACTACGTATTTCACACATTCTTTTGTCGCCAGAACGCAAGTGAATTCCAACGCTATGAAGCAAAACTGTCAAGCTTAAGCTGAAAACGGCAAAGGCAATAAGCTCGAATAAGAAGCAACACAACTCACAAAGATGCAGTAAAATGAATGATTTATGTGTAAAGCAAGGATTAAAAAATGTCTGAAATCTCAGCATATTACAAATGTCTAAATATGCGTACATATATACGCACATCCCAGCATGTGCACAAGTCAAACTTAATTGTTCCCTGACTGAGTAGCCAAAAACTTCAGAAGATCACAGTCCCAAAAAAATAGCATTTTCCATAGAGGTCAGTAATTGCATTCTCTTATGGAAGTTGGAATTTTCTCTGCACGAATTTCCTACCTTCGGTGATCAGTCGTAGTTTGTAAATGAGCAGGAACTGAGTGATCAAACCCAAAAGCATATTTTGCTTCATTTATTCGCATTTTTATCATTGAAGTCATCTATGGCGTCGTATATCACGTTGCGGTAGCATCAGGAGTTTACTTAGATGTCATTATTTTTGTCCCAATCGAGCGGTAGTGATCGCCGTCTTCCACTTCAGGTTTTTCCTGACGACCCTCGAGGAGATGTACTATCGTTAATGGTTTTTATTCGATAGTTAGTCGTGATACTTTTTTAGGCAAAAGAGAATACAGAAATTGTGCACGGTCTTCTGGTAAAAAGATTTTTAAATTGTGGAAATTTTGTGAATTCATAAACCGCTAAATACTACGCTGTATTTGAATTTAGTCGAAAAATTCCCTTGCCTTAAAAGGGCAAGCTCCACGCTTGGGTGCTGAAGAAAAAATTGGTGTCATCTGCAATGATTGCCTAGCCTAATAAAAAGTGTTGATTTAATGACAGCAACCGTACATCATCTCAAACTGGGTAAACGCGAGAGGATGTAATGGGTGATCCACGCAGAGGTACTTTTGTCAATAACTTTTTTTGACAGATTACACGTCGGCTGTGCCAAGGTTTCAAATGATTTTTACTCAAAATTGTTTCGCATTTCATCATGTCTGAACAGCGTGGATGAATCGGTCAACTTTAGGGTCGCTGAACTTAGGGTCAACATAATCGGCCTACTGTGCGTACTATTCGCAACACCATCATCCAATTTAAGACCCAGCATTCATTATTGGAACGCAGCTACCGTAGCCGAGCACGAAAACCGTGGGGAGTCGATTCGGCACCGTTCGCAGCAACTCGGACTGGCGTATGGAACGGCTTGGCATATTTTACGTAGAGATGTTAAATTGAAAATGTAAAAGTTACAACTTCTAGAAGAACTGAAGCCGCACGACCTTCCCAAGTGACATCGCTTCTGCTGCGCGCTAATTTTCGTTCAGCAATGAAGCCCATTTCTAGCTCAATGGGTATGTAAACAAGCGAAATTGCCGCTTTTTGGACGAAAAGCAACCGAAAGAGATTCATGAGCTGGCATTTCGTCATGATAACCGACTATTTGAAACTTGAAATTGAAGCTCGTGATCTCGGCGAAGTTTGGTTTCAACAAAACGACTCCACTTTTCACACATCGCAACAATGATAACACTTCGGTGAGTAGATAATTTAATGTTTTGAGCCGTTCTATTGGGCTCCAAGATCGTCTGATATCACAGCCTTAGACTTTTTCCTATGTAAAGTAAAAAATCTAAGCAGACAATCCGGCTTCAATTCAGGCCTTGGAACAAAACATCACGCGTGTCAATCCCCAGTTACCAGTCGAAATGTTCGAACGACCCATCGAAAATTGGATTCAGCATATGGACCATATGAGCTGTAGCCAAGGCCAACATTTTAAAGAGATAATCTAGAATATATAAATGCCAAAGAATGTTCTAACGAATGATAACATTCCCCATTTAGTTTGAATTTTTTGTGTTTTTTATAGGGAACCTCGAAATAGATCATCCATTATAAACTTACATATGGACACATTTTCCATTCAAAATCAAATCAAGACATCATCAGGTAGAGAGCGTTTTGTTTTCGCTCCGTATTCCCTGGCGTCAGCTGAACACCGAAGAGAGGAACCGAGTGGCGCGCTATTGCTGATTCGGATAAAATCGCGTAAGCAGTGCCCACGCCGATGCGGAAGAAAAAGAAGAGGAGGCACATTTCAATAAGGAAAATTCTCGCATTGGCTTACTGTTTGGTGCGTTCTTTGGTCCGGATATGTAGTTGGTCTTTACTTATTTGGAAACGACTACAGTTTCGCCGTTAGCACTACCAATTAGGAGCACTGTGCTAGTATGAGAACAAACTTTTTTAGCCTCCAATTAAAGTACGCGACATGGACAACATTGCGGTTTGGCGAAGTCAAATGACCACAAACATTATGCATTTCGTAAAGTTTTGGTGATATCACCCAATATGTGTCTAAAATTGGTCGAAAATTGCAAATCTTGGCAAAGTGGTCATGTGGATGGTGTAGTCTTTCACATATAATACCAAGGTTCAAACTTATTTATGAGTGCATAAGTTCGTGCCCAATTCCGCTGGATGCCGTTCGAATCGTTTGAGAGTGGCGCTTGTGAAAGAAATATATACATATTATATATCGTTGGAAAGGTGACAGTCCGAACTGTAAATCAAGCATAAAATAACTTCATTTTAATTTGAGTTGCTTAGTGAAAAGACGCATGGAAGATGGACAACGAAAAAGATCATATGCGTCATATTATGTTATACGAATTCCGCAAAGGAAAAACAGTAGGCGCTGCAACTAAAATTATTCGCGAAGTTTATTTGGACCGTGCTCCAGCACTCCGCACAGTAAAGAAATGGTTCGCGAAATTTCGTTCTGGAGATTTTAACCTCGAAGATCAACCTCGCAGTGGACGGCCTTCTGAGCTTGATGACGATGTTCTAAGGACTTTAGTTGCGAATAACTCACGTATTTCGACGGAAGAGGTTGCCAGTGAATTGAACGTCAACAAATCAACTGCGTTTCGTCGTTTAAAAAAGGTTGGGTACACTTTGAAGCTCGATACATGGGTGCCACATCAGTTGAGTGAAAAAAACAAAGTGGACCGTATGTCAACAGCAATTTCTTTGCTTCGACGGATCAAAAACGAACCTTTTTTGGATCGGCTCGTGACTGGTGATGAAAAATGGATCCTGTACAACAATGTTCAACGCAAAAGAACATGGAAACAGGCACACGAAGGGGCGGAACCGATGTCGAAAGGTGGATTGCATCCGATGAAGGTACTGCTGTGCATTTGGTGGGATATCCGAGGCGTGATCTATTTTGAGCTCTTGCCAGCTGGAGAAACGATCACTGCCAACAAGTATTGTCAGCAATTGGTCGAATTGAAGAAAGCAATTGATGAAAAACGTCCGATTTTGGCCAATCGCAAAGGAGTTCTTTTCCATCATGACAACGCCAGGCCACATGTTGCAAAACCGACCCTGGCCAAACTGAAGGAGATGAATTGGGAAATCATGCCGCATCCCCCATATTCACCCGACATTGCACCTTCTGATTATCATTTGTTTCGATCGCTGCAGAACAATTTGAATGGAAAAAAATTTAAAAATGTGGAAGACGTCAAAAACCACCTTGACACCTTTTTCAACGAGAAACCGCGCGATTTCTATGAATCAGGCATCCGTAAATTGGTTGAACGTTGGGAGTGGATTGCCGAACATGATGGCGAATACATAATTGATTAATAAAAGTGCTTTCCTCAAAAAATTTCAATTTTATTGTAGTTTGCACTTGAAATCGGGCACGAACTTACGCACTCATCCAATATATGAAAATAGAAATTTCATGACAAAAGAAGATTTAAATGCATTTAATTTTCTTTTATATAATAAAATGTATTTATGCATTTGTTTTTCTTTATATTGCTATAAATCCAATGAAATGACTTGAATATCTTTTAAGCTGCCCTAACAACTTGCATTTCCATTCCAATTCCGTATTTTCAGGTCACTCGTATAAAAGTATCAACGATGAAATAATCTGGGTGAGCATTGGAATGGGTGTCACCATAATTGTCCTTATCTTAATTGCGCTTTGCTACATTGTGTGGGAGAAGTGCCACAAGAAGCGTGAATACTACATAACTGTATAACGCGTCGCGCTACACGCAATGCTATACTTCTTAGATACCGTGTTGTTTTATAGAAACTTGCAACCATTTAGGAGAGAACGCACCACTACTGGAATTGCACATGCACTCAGAGCCGTGTGTATAGTATCAAGATAATCAAAAACTCTTTGCAACACATAAACAAGTTGGCGCGGTAGAGATGCACCGCCAGGGAAAAAGGCATTAGTAGCGGAATCGGAAACGGATGTCAGAAGAAGAGGATGGGCAGTGGGGAAGAGCTATCGAAAGGGGAGAGTACCACGCGTATACAACTGCACGAAATTTCAGAAAATATGATTCTAAAAGGCATGGAAGATGTTGCAAGAAACCTTCGACCATAAACCGATTTCACTTGTTACAACAACAACCAAAACTTACTACTTTTTTGAAAAATAACAGAAAGTGCTAGGGCAGGAAGTTGGTCGTTTAACCATTGTGATGTTGCTGCAAGCACATAAAGCATAAAGAGGCAGAGGAATAATATTTGAAATTTATTGCTTTTCGCCTGGGGGAGGATAGTATAACGGTTCATTTATTAGAAATTCAGAAGAGATTACTATAATGTATGTACATATACATAAAATTAGCTTTGTTCGTATATGCCGTGTTAACATATTGATGTGAAGAAGTAGCTCATGACTAGTATCGTTATGTATATATACCCAAGTAGTATTAAACTAACTATTTATTATATGGATATTTTAAAAATTTGTTATGAACAAAAAAGGTGTAAGTGAACATCTTCAACAGCTTTAAATAAAATTAAGTAAAGCCTTTTTTAAATTTGGAAAAAGAATACTTTTAAATTTATACAATCTTTATAAGACATGAGTATTACTTCAAAACGATAAATTGTCATTAATCGAATTTAACAAAAAAAAATTTAAATATATGTACATGAAAACGTCAAATGTTTCATTATACACTTTTGGATTTATCACATAAGTGATATACATATGTATATATGTATATATATTAGACTATCCGCAGAGTCCACTATGAAAACTGAGCTGGAAAGGAGAGTGATTGCGAGAATCATTGTTAAATTTCAATCAATATATGAAAAATTTAGAGAATTTGGGTAATTTTATTGATTAAAGAAGAAGAATTAGGCGAGCTAAAGTGAGTAATAAAACACGCTTATGGTTTTTACAGTAAATATTGTAACCATGCTTACTGTTTTATCCGAAATTTTGGTCGCGTTTAAAACACTCACTCGGTCGCTTCAAAGCAAGAAAACTTAAGGAAATATAGAACAAAAACAGACAGTCTTCGGTCAGGGATCTCACGATTCATTATTTACGAGCTGAGCATTCTCTAGTCGTGGATTGTTAAGCGCTGAGGTATAAGGTGTACTTTATATATATTAGTTTAATAATTTGAGTTTTAAGGATAATAAAAAATAATTTTTTTTTTTTAGGTTTTTGGTGGTTTCATATTTTAAAATGCTTTTCAAATCACCAACTAACCAGTTTTGATCTAATGAATTAAATACTAAAAATAAAAATTTTTAAATTCAACCTGAAATATTTATTAAATTTTAAAATTTCAACATATTTAAACATGATACATTTTTTGGGGTTCGATTCCTTTTTGTATCACATGATTATGTGAGATCCATGGTCAAAATGGTAAATTTCCGAAATTCGAAATTTTAATTTGAATACCAGTCACACGTTGCTGTGGTACATTTAACAAGAAGTTAAAGAAGTTTTTCATTCACTGTACTTGATGTTCACCCCAACGAGTGTTTTCGGACATGAAATAAAGGCACCTCGTAAAAAACCCATTAGCTGTTCGGATGCTTCTTAGCATAAACTGTAAGTCCGTCCATTTTTTGGAAAAACATCAAGACGCAAAACCACAAATTGGAGGAGGAGCTCGGCCAAAAAAATCGCCTCAGCGGTTACAAAGCGCCCATTACATATATAATGCAAAGTTAGGACAATCGATGAACCAATATCGTCATATATACAGTGGGTGAGACTTACACTTAATACTTAAAAATAATAATTTTCTTTAAAAAATGTATATGTATATGAACGGAATAACATAAATAATGGAAACATTCTCTTACACAGACGAAAACTCAAATTCTAAAATTTTTTTAAGTCACTTACATATTAACGCCACCGCAATCATAGATTTGGCGATTTTTTTTACTAAAAAAATTATACGAAAATTAACGAAAAATAAGTTCAAGGTGAGTAAAGTGTAACCTTTGTTCATCAAGCCACGGTCAGAGTAAATAAAAGCTTTATCAGATAAATTGCCGTTTTTTTAAAACCAAAACTTCCAATTTTCAGTATAAAAAATTGTATTTTTATTAATAATTTATAGAAATTATTATAAAATGGAATGGTTAGCAAGTGTGCTACAATATCGCTGTTTGCTTTAATTTTTCAAAAAACTATTTAAAAAAAAAATATTTTTTTATTTTTTATCTACAATAAACCACTGTATAATTTTTCATCGCTTCGAATTTGATTTTTTCACAAGATCGGCATCGTCCAATTCCGAAAAGCTTTTCAGCAATAGGAAAAATATGCGAAAATCGGTTTCTATATTAAATTTGCTCTAAAAATTTGTGTTAAAAAATAATATTAATTTTTATAGTTTAGAATTTTTTTGATATTAAAATAGATTTGTTCCACATTAAGCTATTTAAATCGTTTTAATTGTAATTGTTATAATTTTAAAAAATTCGATTTTTTTAAGCCTAATGTTATGCTGCTTCATAGATAAAATTTTGTAAAATTATTTGAAAATTTTCGGCAACCCACAAAATTTAACCATCTTCGTCATTAAACATGTGTTGTCGCTCTTGTCGTAACCTTCTTTTCCATAAACCTTGAGACTTTGTAGCTGTGAAAGAGCGTTTCGTTTCCAAGAGCTAATTAATTTGCAATGATTTTGACAGCCAATACGCTGAAGTAAAAACCATATACAAGGTAATTGTTGTATTTATACTCCTCCTCTCACCTTTACGAATTCGCCTTTCATGAAAAATGAGTTTCTGAAAATTAATTTACATATTTCACATTAATTTATCAAATACCTCCTTTAATAATACTCAGATCTCTTTGACAGATATTTCAAGGGAAATAAAAATTGCATGTGACACATAGTCTGACAGCAAAAGAAGGAAAAGAATATCGCGTGAAAATTTTTACGTCTACGGGGACCTTAAAGTGTGGAATAAAATGAATTGAACTGTTGCTTTGTTCAATAATGATTGAACGTAGGCTTGTAAATACATAGTAATCTATTTAGTATTTGAAAAAATTCAGCGTTGTATTTTGCCATCTGTCAAACTTAACTGTCAAATAAAGAAATTTGAAGAGATTGGATCGGTTCCAGATAGGATAAGGCCTGTGCATCTTCATTTAGCTCGTTTCACCTCGGTGCTGCAAATGAAGGTGTAGCTCAAAACCAGAATATTCTAGCGTATTTTGCACATCCAGATAAAGTTCGGCTCATAGAACAACTGAAGCCAGCCGACCATTCACAATACATTCATCGATTGGGTACTTGAACAATGAGCAATTTACTATCATTTTTTCGATTAATTTTTTTTTTTCAACTACGAGGCAATTAGTTCTTCGTGAGCAGACGTAAATAAGCAAAATTGACACATTTGATGCTCCGAATATCTTCTAATTGATCTGATGCCAGTGTGACTATCAATTTGAAGTGTTACAGTCGTATAATAACTGCCTTTTTTGTGGCTTATAATTGAAGAGCACGACTTATACAAATTGTGGTTTCAACAAGATAGCTTCACGTACCACAGATCAGCTAATATGGCTCTATAGCGTCCGCGTACTCTCTCGTCTTGGCGATGTCGATCGGCCACCGAGGTCGTGCGTCTGGACTACTTGTGCGGACTTCGCGCAAGACCGTGTTTATGCGGATAAAACCTTAAATCCTGAACACTTGAAAACCAACGTTCGTCAAGTCATAGCTGATATATAGCCCAATCTGTGCCGGAAAATTGTCGAAAATTACCTTAAACCCATTGAAGTTTGCGAGAATTCGCGAGGCGGCATTTGAGTACTGTAGTGTTTCATACTAAGTTTACTTTCCAAAGGAACTTGTTAAGGTTCATAAAATAAAATAAAAATTAATTAATTTTTCGTTCAGTTACCCAATTTGAAAAAATAAAATCTTAATAAGAAACTTGTTTTTAATTTTTTCCACGCTATTGGTATTTGAACCATGCAACAGATGAAGTAAATATTTGGAAGGCACAGTTAATGTATCTGCGATAATTTTAAAAAGGTTCGAATTATTGTTTTGTCAAATTTTCTATCCATCAAACTGTAGGTCGGGGAGAGAAGCCCACAACCAAAATATCATACATAGTGGGAAGGATTTTTTATTTATTTGGAACAATATTTACGGATATCAATGACATATTAAGTCATGGTATAGCAGTATAGCGACATAGCAATTGCAAACTAGGAAGCACACGTAGGCAAGCCGCAAATATATTTCCGCAACCGTATTTTGCGATTCAGTGAACTCGCTCAACCGTAAAATTCATGTTTAATTCAGAATGTTACTCAATGAAAAATGTAAACATACACGAATATTCATATATATTTATGTATGTTTATAGTAGAGCTCGTAAGCAGCTGGTAGTCGCTCAATTGCTCAACTGCACAAATATTTAATTCAAGTTTTATGCTTTTTGAACATTTGGAGCATTGAAAAATTTTTTTTCTATTTCACTGAGCAAACTTGCACCGCACTGAAACACTCGAGGTGCTCCAAAATGTTCGAATAAAATATTGAGCTTTAATTTATATCAGTTCCTTAACTTACATATTTATTATTTATGAATTAGTATAATAATTTTAATACAAAATAATGGCAAAATAGGTTAAAATTTGAATCCTAGCGGTCGCCATACTGTGGGTACCTCTACTTGTGGAAAAAGCAGCAACGCAAATTGGAGGGATGTGTCCCAAAAATAACCGAATTTTTTGAATATGAAATAAAATACCCATTATATTATCTTTGAAAGTTATTATTTATTCAAAATAGGTTCCATTTGACTCAACACAACGTTTGGAACAATCAACCAGCGCATGCATAGATTTTTTTATGTCATTTGTAGAAATGTTCTTCAGTACCTCGGTTACGGCTGCTTGAATGGCTGGGGTATCATCATAAAATGCTCCCTTCATCTTGTTTTTCAGTTTTGGAAATAAAAAATAGTCACATGGTGATAGATCAGGCGAATACGGAGGATG